GGAGTAAGTACAGATGTAGGGTTTTTTAGTTAAATGATAAGAATTCAAGAAATTTCACACTTAATATCCTCAATTTTTATGTAAATTAGAACTTCCTCATCTCCAGAGGAGACTGAAAGAAAAATTAAAGAAAAGGGCCAACTATCGTGATGCAACCCTGTAATCATAGTGACTACAGAGCCTGTGGCAGGAAGATTGCAAGTTTAAGGCCAGTCTCATCAACTCAGCAGGATCTTGTATTAAAAAAAATTAATAAAAGGAGCTGGGATGTGACTCAGTAAAGTGTCCCTGGGTTCAACCTCCAGTACCAAAAAAACAAAAGAGTGAATTTTAGGATTGGGCAGGGGTAGAAGGGAGAGTTACCACATATAGATATAACAAAGATTTTCTAAATAGAAGAAAGGCACAGTTGACTTCAGATTTTTTGGAGCTACAGCAACACTAGTAGTCTGCCTGATTATTTAATCTTTTTACTCTTCAGTCACCAAGAATAAATTGATATAAGATTGATCTAAGAGAATAAAGGTCCTGGTTTTGTGGAAGGATAAAATTATGATAACTGTTTAACCAGCTATAACTTCTAGGATGGAGCAGAAAGGAACTTCATGAACTCTCATGCAATGGATGCAAAGATGTGGGACTGAAAATGTAGTGACAATAAAGAAGGCTGAATTGAACATGATCGTGGAATTTGTGGGGTCACAAGTTTATAACTTGGTGTTTAAGTGTCCAGAGATGGCATATTTCCCTACAAACAATTTCAGCATGAAGCACAAGATCACAATTACTATGAAATTGAAAGGATACCTCAGATTTGAAGATGATTTGCTAGATGTGTTATCTATATGAACACTGAGGTTATTAAAGAAATAAAAATTGAAAGTGGAAAGGAGAAACTGAGAGCTAGATACCAATACTCCTATTCAATAACAAGGTTGGAGAGTGTACATTTTAGATAAGTTTTGGATTTTATTCGAGGAAGAGGTTTTGCAATTTTGATTCAAAAGAAATATAGAAACAATAAGGGAGAGCTGGAAAAGAAAAAAATAAGATTATAAAAAACTGTATAGACTTTAAGCTCTAAGTAAAAAATGATTAGTATGTTATTTGGTTAAGGGAGTTAAAATCTTATGATTATATGTCTATATAAATAAATTTAAAATGGTTGAGGGTTAACTTTCTTTATTCATGGGAAAACTTCATGATGTGGAAAAATATTAAATCTTTTGACTAATATGATCAAAATTTAGATTATTAGTAATACTTTACTTGGACATAACTCCATATATTATATATATATATATATATATATATATAGAGAGAGAGAGAGAGAGAGAGAGAGAGAACAAAGATACACACATATTAAAATGTTATTTCTTGAACATTATTCTTTACATTTTATAAATAAGGAAACTAGAAACTGTTTCAAAGATACATATGACTTTAGAGCCCATGTCACTCCAAAACACAATACAAAATAAACAAACAAAATTAATTTAAAATTAATTAAAGTAGGAAGTACATTGATACAATACACCACTAAAACTCTCACTGAGTTTTTACATCCTAACCCAAATTTAAAATTGTGTTCTAAATTTTTTATTGATATTTTTGATGTGGATCATTGTATATTTAACATACATCTTGTCATTACTTCCTGAAAAGAACATCTTGCTGTTAACTTTGTATAATTATAATCTATACACTCCCATCAGAGTTAGATGCTGAGATCCTAAATCATGTATTTATTATAATTTGAGTTGACTCAAACTTGAAAATGCCCTCAAATGCTCATACGAACAGCATGCATTGAAATTTCCATGATTCACTTTTTCTTACTGATATTTAAAAATGTAAACTTGAAAGAGAGGGGAGAAATGCTAATGATCCTGGCAGTTATTCTCAACAATTATCTTCAGGAAGTAAATCATGGACATTCCAGTATCATGCCCATTTAACAAAATAGAACTTAAAGTGAGGTTAGTGCTGCACTATATAGTAGTATAGTATATAGTAGTATAGTAGTATACTATATATATATATATATATATATATATATATATATATATGTATATATAGAGAGAGAGAGAGAAAGAGAGAGAGAGAGAGTTTCATACTTAAAAAGGCTAATAAACATGATTTAAAAAATTTTCTCTCATTTTTTACTAATTGCTCCAAATATACTATGAAAATTTATTTTAAAAATTCCTAGATATTTCTGAACTAAAATGACTAATTCTACATCTAAACTTTTACATTAAATGATTATTTTTTCAGAAAGGCATGTTATAAAAAGCACTTTAATCTTTTAAGATGAAATATGGCTATAGTATAGTTATCAAAATTTAATGAATTAGGGATATTATTAAAGTGAATCTGTTTATTGATTCTGGAGGTTAATCAGTAGGAACTGTATATAGTAGCCTAATGTACCAAACAATCAGTATGATTTCATGGTGACCATCTTTTCTTTTCTAAATGTGATTTCATTGTTATGTAGCATTTATTTTAAAATAAAAAATCTTAGAATCTCACAAAACAAAATTGAGTGAAAGAATTTGAACATAAAACAGAGCATATTCTATGGTTCCATTAATACAAATTTTAAAAATATGCATAACTAGTCAAAGACCCGAGGAAAGGATTGCAGTTTCCCAAAGGGAGGTGGATAGGCCTGGAATGGTTCAGAGCACATACTGAACATTGGTGATGTTCAATCTCCTGATGCAGATGCTGGACAGATGCATATTTTGTAAAACTCTATTGAGCTGTACACTCATAACTTGCACAATTTTTGGTATGTTTTTATACCTCAAAATTTACATTATCAATAGTTTGCTCTGGGGATAATTCTTATGTTAATCAGAGGTTAAAAGGTTAATATTCCACTAAATTTTTGGCTGCTTTGGCATTAGTAATAAATTTGCTCATTATTATAGGAAATGTCTTGGACGACTTGATTTAGAATCGGACTTTAATTTTAGTTGGGAATATGATTTTATTTCTTATTATATAGTTAAATTGAAAACAAAAACAACCTATAGGTCAAGGCATAAAAAGAAAAACTAGTAATTTTTTTCTCTATGCTCTTTTTAGTTCCCTTTAAGTGAGAAGGTGAACTGATTGGAAATCTAATAACCATTACTCCAAGGCCAAAATAACTCTGCTATGATGCAAACCACACAGAACACACAGATAAGCCAGTAATCTGAGCCCTCTAAAGCTGGGAATATTAACTCTCTAGAAAATTCATAAGATATTTGATACGGAATGAAATATTTGAGTTGCTTAGTTTGTTATCTTGTCTAACAGGTAAATAGGATTATCCTGAAATATTTTAAATGATCCAAATATGTGTGTGTAAAAAATTTGAAAGTTAAGTCAAACTCATGCTGTATTTTAATGAACTTTTGCTATAATTTGCTATTATTATTATTATTTTTCATTATTCATATCCCAACATTACCACTTATTATATATTCCTTGGCTATTAAAATTTAAGTAAAATTATATCAAATTAAACTTTCAGTTGCTTAGCCACTTAGGCTCATTTCAAGAATGCTGTAGTCATACATTGCTAGTATCTACTGTCATGGGGTAGATTTAGAACATTTCTATTTACCAGAGTTCATTTGGTCAATACTAATTTATATAATTAAAGCAGTACCTTCTTCAGATTATGATATTTAATAATAATAGAATTAATAAAAATAAGACTAGCTATACAATAGAAGATAATGATGATTATAAGTGAAAACACACAACTTACATATCTAGTATCTGTGGTGAGCCGTTTCTGTGAACTGTGGCCGCCATTACAAGATGGCGCTGGCTCCGCTGTGGTTTATGATAAACAACTCCTTGTTTTGGGAGAGTTGGCACGTAGCTGTAAAACACCCTATGAGAATGATCTACGTGGCAGTTGTGCATTGGGGCTTGATGTGCTTTATCAAGGCTGGGGTGCTCGGGTGAAGTAGTAGTGGTAGGGTAGAAGAAGTAGAGGCAAAAGTAAAAGTAGCAGTAGCAGTAGTAGTAATAATAATAATAATAATAAGAGAAGCTTCCAGAGACACATAATTAAAGGCCTGAATAAACTGCTGAGAGAAGAATCCTGTGTCATGTCCTCCTTGCTGGCGAGGGGTCACGGCAAGTATCATGAGTATTTTATATATAGTCTTCTGATGTAAGTTTTTGAAGACTCTCCTAGCCACAATTTTTCAAACATTTCACTTTTAAATAACTTTGAAAATGACATTCTGAAAAATTTTCATTAATTAGAAGCCACAGAACCAACCTTATATATTATGGTCACAGCTATATTTTTAAAGAAATAGAAAAAAATCTAAGCAAATGATTAAAATCCTTTTAAATTATAAATGATAAGACACTTAAACAGATTTTTTTAAGTCATCTGCCACCAATAAGAAAACCTGGTAAATCAGGATACAAAATGATTAAGAAAGAAATTAGATTAGTAGTACCTTCTGTATTTATGGTTATAGCATTAATTCAATGAGATCATTTTACACATTCCTAAATTTATTTGTTAAAAACTTTGATTTACCTTTCTGTCATTTTAATATTTTGTGCAGTCTTTTTAAGTTGATCCCCTTCTGGCTCTATGCTAGATTGTTAAAAACTCATATAGTATTCTCAATACATGAAGACAATCTTCAGGTAACCAGCCAGTCCCACCCTTCAACAAATTATGAATCACAACTCAGAGTTAAACTTATCAGGCATATCAGTTAGAAAATTTACTTATTCCTTCCTCCATTGTCTATGTACTTTGTATTCACATTTCAGTAATCATTCTCATAATAACCATTCAACATCATGGATGCAAAGTACATAAATACACATCATGATATTCAGAAAAAAAAAGAATTTTAGGACAACTTTATTGTATTATTACAACAACCTTAAAAACATAAATAGTCCCTTCAGTAAAGATTAGTTTTTCTTGTCAATTTATAATCTTATTTTTTCCTCTCTCCTAGGCTACTGATAAAGATACTGGTAATTATAGTGCTATGGCATACAGACTCATAATACCACCAATTAAAGAGGGAAAAGAAGGGTTTGTGGTGGAAACATACACAGAACTCATCAAGACTGCTATGCTCTTCCATAATATGAGATCTTACTTCAAATTTCAAGTTATTGCAACTGACAACTATGGGAAGGGACTGAGTGGAAAAGCTGATGTACTTGTAAGTAGAGAAAACTTCAGATGTATAAATTACACACAGCTGGGCAAGTGGTGCATTCTTTTAATCCCATGAATTTAGGAGGGTGAGCCAGGATGATCTCAGCAATTTAGCAAGGCCCTAAGCAACTTGGACCTTATCTCAAAATATGATATAAAAATGATTGGGAAAGGTGGCTCAGTGATTAAATACCTGACACCAAAAAAGAAATAAAGAAAGAAATTGCATTCGATACTATTCAGATTGTATTTTCATCTCAGAACATTTTTAGGAATAATTTAAAACAGATTTTTAAAACATAAATATCATTAATTTTCATCCACATTTTTAACATCTAGACTTTTGTTATTTAGAAAACAACAAAAAATGTTTTGTAGCAATTTTTAATCAGTAATATTGTTGTTCTGACTTTCTCTTGGTCTGTGCACAAGTACAGTGGTAGATCATTTCCAAGAATAGTTTGATATTAGTTTTTATTGAATATATTTAAAGCTAATTCACATATCCTGTGCAATTGCTACTGAGTTGGAAGTGTGGACTATTTGGACTTTTTTATGATAAATCTAATAAAAATTATAATTATTCTTGAATATATTTGTCACGTAAAGATGGAGTAAAGCATAGTTTGTGTATTATTCTTCTTGTCATAATAAATCTTAATTTCTCACAGTTATCTTCATTAAGTTATCTGGACAAACTTAACCATCATATGCATGCAGTCATAAATGATCAGGTTTGTCTTCTTAGATAATGGTGAGGACCAATTTTCATGATTCTGGTGGGTACGAAGGCCCCAATTGTCCCCCAGCTACACTCTCCATTGTAACTGTAAAGCTATAATTGGATGAACAAAGGACCATCTCAACCAAGAAGTTTAGACATAGAAAATACTAAGGTTGATATAGAATTTTGATCAAATTAAGAGCTATAAATGTTATAAAAGAATGCCATTTCTTATTCTGTTTTTTAAGTTATGCATAATGGGTACCTTAAAGACTAAATAATAAGATCACTACACAAAGTATAGTCAAAATATGATAAAATAAATACAAAAATATATATATAAATAAATAGAATATATATAATGTGAATATTGTATATATGTGATTTATATATAAATAATGTGAAATTTATGTTTTTTTAAATTTATACTTTATAAATAATATATGAAAATTTTAGCATATGCTAAAATATATTTACAAGGAAAAATTCAAATAAATCAAATATTATATGTATAAGTGCATATCATATATTATTATATTATGACACAAACTAAGAGCATCAGGAAAGCCATCTCAGCAAAATTACATAATCCTATAGTTCAAAAAAGTAAGATATAATAGGAATGACTTCTATGCACAAGACACAATATGTGCCAAAACCAAGGGGAAATAAAAGATGACAAGTTTGAAAAAGTCACAGAAATTTATTTACTCAGCAGACAAGAATGTGAGAAGGAACAGGAATAATTAATAAGGCTAGAGATGAAAATAAGTGGTCCACAGAAAAGACTTAAGCCACATGAAAAATGATGGTACTTTTCCCTAAATACAGTGGGCAGCCACTGGAAAGTTTTAGTAAGATTGGGATAAAAGAAGGTTATTAAACTTAGAAGAAGGCTTCTTGTTTAGTACGAATCTAGTTCTCCCCTGAGATGGCACCATTTTTACTGCTGCTTTATTAGTGGTGGCTTTTGTTTGATTCTTTTTCATTTTTGTCTCTTACAGTCTTCATATTGCCCACTGGTAGAGTAGGATCTTCTGTGTACAATCTCATCACTTCTAAACCCTACCTTCCTCCTAAGAGTCCAGTCTTCATTCTCATCATCTGTCACTCACTACTCCCTGTGATCTCTCATATATATGATGGATAACTATCCATCATATATATAACTTTAGCTCCTGAATTACTGTTCACTATCTCTGCTAATTCTCTGAACTTAATTTTTTAACATCATTCATTATACGCAATGATGATTTTTTCAGTGATCAAAACTCACATTCCTTGAATGCCTTCTTTCCCATGACTCCCCCCCCCCACCTTCAACCATTCAGAGCCATTATCTTTGCCAGTACCTCCATGATTTCCATTTCAAACCTCTTACTCTTTGACTATAATGCTGAATGTGTGTAACTAAATTTATCACTCTTTGTCACCACTAGGACCTTTATTCCAGTTCGCTGACAATATATTTTCTGTCCATCATGTTTCTATTGAGACCTCCTAATGTTCTCCTTTCTTGCTTATCAGCTTTATGGCATATTTTCAATTATAATAAACATGTTAATATAAAAATTTAGCTTCCTTTTTTTTCCTATATTATTTATGGTTCTCCAGAAAAACAGAACTAGTGGATTTACTAGACTGGTTCAGTTATAAGGCTGAAAAATTACACAACATCCATCTGAAAATTGAAGAACCAGGGAATCTTGGTAGAATGGTTCAGTCTAAGAAGCCAGAAGCCTGACAACTGGGAAGCCTGATGACGTAGCTAGCAATTTAAGACTGATGGCTTAGAGCTCCCAGAAGTCAGAGGACCTGGAGTGTATATCCAAGGAGAAGAGAAAATATGGCCAATTAGAAAGGAAAAGCCAAAAGGAAAGAGAGGATGTTTTCTTTCTTGTGTTACATTGTTACTTATGGAGCAACCACCAACTGTGTGGTGCAGTCTTCAGTGAAAGCACAGCTCACCCACTCAGTTCACTACCCCACACTCCAGACTTCTCCAGAAACATCCTCACAGAAGCTCTTAGAAGTAACACTTTACCAATTATCTAAACATCTGTTAATCCAGTGAAGTTGACAGTCAATCACACCACCTTTGCTGATATATGCATTTAGCAAAGTTGTGACTCTAGTTAATTCCAACTCTCTACTTTTTCCATACTTCTTCCCATGCTGATTTTATCTGCCAAAAGAAACACAGTAGTATGATTAGTTTCATTTTAAATGAACTTTTATTTTCCAGCATTCACTCTGCATTTCTTGAAGTGTTCACTCTCAATATTCTAGAAAATCTGTTCCCAATAGTCCAGTATATTATCTGCATCCTCATTGTTATTTAATGGAGTAGGATTCTATTTCATAAAGCCAAAACTAGCACTCCACCACTAAATTGACTTACTGATTCAAAACACTTTGCTTCCTTTCATAGTTTTGTTTATTCTCTATGCTTTATTCCAATGAATTCCTTAACTTAAAGACAAAATATGTCTATTTAAACCTATTTGGTAGATATTTACACAAAAGTAAGTGCTGTAATCACATCATTTTGAGAAAACAAATGATAGTATTTACTGCTAATGAAAACATTGAAGCTTTTCAGCACAAATTGGATATTAGAAAGCTTATATCTGCCACTAAGAAATGACAGCTTCTCTTTACTTAAAGATTAACTTATGAGATCAATGATAATAGTAAATAATATTTCATTTCTTGATATTATATAACAAAGTGTGTCCCATTTGAAAACTCTGACAAAAATCTGAACTAATATTTTCCACATGATTGAAAAAGACATTGAAAACTCATTCATGGGTAAAAGATAAATTCAAATTACAATAAAGATAAATGAATCTTCAGTGTTACTAAAAATGTTTCTAAATGTGGCTTTAGATTTTACATCAAACCTAACCTTGCAGAAATTATCACTTGAGTTTTAATGTAATATCAAAGAAGAAAATACATGATGATCTGAAAAGGCTTTAAAACCATTACTTTCATTTCATGAAAAGTGAGTGTACAGCAGAGTTCATTTAAAAGGAACAATGATCAGTTCAAGCAGGAAGTGATGCATGTATCTGTAAATGGATTGTCCAACACACTAGCTTTCAGTCAAATGTAGCTACTGATCACTGGAAATTCACCTGGTCACCATTGGATGTGCTGTAAGTATCTAATGCACAGTGGATTGCAAAGACTTAAGATGAAAAAAACAATGTAAAATATTTCCTTAATAAGATGTTTTATATTGAATATATATTTTGATAATATTAAAGTTTAAAATATTGGGTTAAAAGCATTATTGAAATAATTTTCCCATTTTTATCTGTCAATATGGATACCATAAAAATGAAAGTACCATATATATCAGTTGTTTATGAGTTGTGTTGTATTTGTATTAGATGGCAATCTCTAATTTTTATGGGATCAAGAAAGGGAAATAAAAAGATAGTATGTTCATGAGGAAGAAATAATAGGGCTTAGAAATAAAATATGTAAATTAGAAACCTCTGTTTTAGAACTCTGTGATTCAAAAATATAAATTTTCTTTTTTATTATGCCTAGTCATTTTAACCTATTACAAAAGCAATACCTACAATGATATAAATCTATATTTTGAAAAGTTTCACTTATAACCAACCTATACAGCTGAATTAAGGAAATTTGTAGGATATTTTTACAATTATGGTATAGGGTTTTGTTATAGTTCAGAGGTGGAGCACATGCTTAGCATGAACAAGGTGGTCCTAGGCTAAATCCCCAGCACCACACAAAAAAAGCATAAAAATATAAAATTATGGTGTAATTAAACCTTATGAATTACTGAAACAATTTCATATTGTTATTATGGGAAAGGAACAATTTTAGAGGTAATCTAAGACAATATATTTGTAGTTAAATGTAGCCTGACTTTTATTAATTTAACAGAAATAGACATATATACTTTTTCATTTCTTTCTTTCTTTTCTTTTTTTGGTTCTGGTGATAGAAGGCAGGGGTGCTTAACCACTAAGGCCCCAAGTGCTCTTTATTTATTTTTTTCAGATAGAGTCTAAATTTTTGAGGTTGGTCTTGAACTTGTGATCCTCTTGCCTCAGGCTCCCTGAATCACTGGGATTATAGGAGTGTGCCACCACACTCATTATATTCCTCTTATGTCCTAAAAATTCAAAATCATGTCAGAATTTGTCAAGATCTAAGAATATTTTTGAAAAATCATAAAAAATCTGTACATATTTCTGAGGACCTAAAATATTACTTACTTTTTACATTGATCCAGTCAGAATTTAGTTCCAAAGCTCACTAATAAATTTAAAATCTTTTTGAATAAGTTATTTCTCCGAATGCAGCAAAAACATTGACAGTCATTAAAAGTCCCATGATAGTTACTTATATCTGCAATGCCAAATTTTTCTTCCCTTCTATATAAATTGATTGAATTCTAAATATTTATCTATAAATCAGCTGCTCAATAGCATAACACAAGCACAGAAAGTCTATAGCTTCTTTGCACCCACATATAACTAACAGTCTAATTTTTATTGCTCTAAAATTATTAAGATTCTACCAACAACTGTGGTAATAGAACTTAGATATTTGAGCTGATGCAGTAAATATATAATAAAAAGTCCAAAATTTTAGTGCTTTAACAAAACAAATTTTCTTTTTCTCTCACATGACATAACAAGAGAGTATACATGTTTGACTAGTGTCCTTTATAATTATTCAAAAAAGTTCACAGACTTTTGTATTTCTCCCCTTCTTTATGGCTTCTTCATCCTATTGTAGATGGGGTGGATTTCACAGATAAAAGAAGTCTAATATTATTAATTCTTTCCCTTCCTGTCTTTACATTAGCAAGAACTTGATCATATGTCTGTAATAACCAATCTGGGAGTCTGGGAAATCTATTTTTACAATGATCCCACTAGGAAAACATAAATAGCTGAGTGAACAGTTAATCAGTGCTTATTACATATTATCAAATATGCATTTACCAAATATGCCTTGCATGCATTTTATGCAGGGCCCAAATGCTGATAGGGAAAAACATGTTTCTTAGATATAGGGACAGATCTATAGAGACACTTCCAACAGGACAGACAGTGATGTTAACTTGTATTAAAAGAAATAAAGAATGATTACCCCTATTCTCTGTCATCCCTTCAATATACTGCTTATGCTCTTCATTGCTTTGCCTGTCAATAACTACCATGATATCACTCCTGAACCTCCTCCTACTAAGTAGTTGGAAGTATTTCCGCACAAATACTCTGGGATAGCTCCTCATTCCTGAGGCCACTAGTTCAGAATTTCTGAGTCCAGGTGAGAGGGCAGTTATAGAATATGATGGGAGGTTCAGGAGGTTCAGGAGGTTCTGGTGAAGATATTTATTGTTTAAATAATGTCTTATGATTGTTATTTTTCCAGGATATTTCTTTTTCACTAGATATTTTTCTGATTTTTCATGGTTTAATATTAAAAGAGAAAGAGACAGAAGGAAATAAAGAATTTCATAAGTTTTATATATGTACATCTAGAGATTTTTCATGTGTTTTTCTGCTAACATTCAAAAGTAATTTGAAAAGGTTTCTACATAACTTTGTTCTTTTTATCCAGGACCAATAAGAAGAGAAAAAGTTACATAAAAACTGTGAAAATCAATTTTTCTAATGAGGTTACGTGACTTTTGTAAATAAAGAATCAGGACTGATCTGTTTAAGTAAAACTTACAGATTTGGGTCCAGATAGTTATATAATGAGTTAGAGGTACAGAGGTCATACTGCCCATGTTAACTGTTGTGCATAGGTGATAAGCCAACAGATCCCTGGCTTAGTATACAGTCTTCAGACCTGATGTATTAGGCTAAAAAATGGTTATAAATGTTTTTAATTGTTTGCAAAAATTTTTTCATAACCGTTTGCATTTTTTCTCTTCATTGAAATATTCAGCAAATCTGAATTTTCTTTCTAAATAGTAATATTCAGTAGAATTAAATGGTAGCAGAGCTCTTCAAAGGAATTGTGTGTACTCTGATTTGCAACACTTGCAATTCTCCCCATAATTTTGTGGCTACTTCACATTTAATTTAATTAAGTGACTGTTGTAACTATGACTCTGACTCCCTGATAAGGTATCTATGTGCAACATAGATGGTAAAGAAGTTGGACCCTATATAAAAAGTAGATGGCAACATAAAATTATTCTCTCTATAGATTGTGTTGAATTTTTGAGTAAAAATAAATGAGTTATTTTTCTTCTGTTTTTCAGGTCTCTGTGGTCAATCAGCTGGATATGCAAGTCATTGTTTCCAATGTGCCACCTACTTTAGTGGAAAAAAAGATAGAAGATCTTACAGAGTAATGGATTTTGTTTACTTATATATTTATTTTCATATGACTGATTTTAATTTTATTAAGTCATTTTAATCATTATGATATTCAGATTAAAGCTATCTTTTAAAAGAGTTTCTTCATGATAAGTTAGATTACTATTTTCTCTATAGAGCTACATTGGAAATATGAAAATATTTTGATACTACCTTCAAGGATCAATAAAAGGTTTGAGAAGATTTTATTATTCTGAATGCTTTGATTGATACAGCAACAAAACTTCAAAACACTGCAAATTGCTAATATTTTGGCAATTACATCCATAGTTTAATGTATGCTTCATTTGCAGTCCTAGATTATATAAAAAATAAAATGTATTATGTTAGCAATCCAGCTAGTCCAGAAAATGTTAGTTTTAAAAATAGTGTGTCTCAGTTTCTAGAGATTATTCTATAAAACCATATTAAAACTAATTTTGAACAATATGTCTTCTTAGTTATATAAAACATGTAGCATGTTCTTATTCTTTGTTAACATTGGACATTACATGGTCAAATATGTTGTTGACTCAGTTATAGTTTCCATTATTTATTAGGCTGCTATTCTCTAATTTTATACTATCATACAGTATTAAAATATCTTCACTATTTCATTCTAAACTATCCTAACATATTTTGTAATTATAATATCTTGTATTTATTTGTGTGTTTGTGTGTGTGTTCTGCGCTTTCATATGGAATCCTTTTTAAACTCTAACCCTTTATTCTGTTTTATTTGTCTTCAAAGCATTATCTAATATTTTGGCAAATATGTCATTTTCCCACTAGAATATAATCTTTATGTAGGTAGGAAATTTATTTTTATTGCTCTAACTGTAGTTATATATTAGGAACTTGATACTTCTATTCAATGAGTGTCTTGTGCACAAAAAATCATGATGCCTTTTCTTTATATTTAATTAAACTGAAATAGAAAATACAAAACAAAAGTACAGTTTTGTAGAGATTTGTAAGACATGATGACCCTATTGGATATGGTGGATGTGATCATATGAAGAAGAAAAAAATTGTTTTACAACTTCAGATAAATTTATGATTGCAAAAGGAGCTTGAACTTCATATGACTGGTTTGTAACACAGACTATAACAACTGATTGTTTCAGACCTAAGTTTCACCTTTGGTCAATAAGAACTAATAAAGCCTATAAGATTGTTGAGAACTAAATTATATACCTTTACAATGAATCTTATGAATATACAATGAATGTTAAACTTTTTACATAAAGAGAATTTTATTTAAAGGACAGTTCAACTTTACATAGAATGATATCATGTTTTTGAACATTTTTATAAAAGAACTTAACTCTATAATGAATAACAGTTTATGAATTCAAAAGTACATATGATATTCTATTGTAAATGGGCAAGATAGTTAATACTTGTGGCTATACTTTCTTATCTTGAAAATTGGAATAAAGACATCTATCTTTTGCTAATTTTTTTTTAATACTGGTGATGAAACCCAGGACTTTGCACACACTAAGCAAGTACTATGCACTAAGGTACACCCACAGCTCTCTTTTAATAATCTTGAAAGTATTAAATATGTCTTTTCCAGTATATTAAACAAAAAGACACATATTTGCTTCATTCCTTTTCTCATTGTGCTAAAATTTCACGTAATAAATTTTATCATTTTAGTGATTTTTGAATTTATAACTTTTTATTGTTAAATTTTTATACATTGCTCTTAAACAGATTTCCAGAATGTTTTTATCTTGTGGAACTGAAATTCTATATACATTAAGTAACATATCTCCCTCTCTCGTTATCCCACCATTTTACTTTCTGAATATATAAATTTGATGACTTTAAATATATCATGTAAATAGAATAATACAATCTCTCCTTTTGTAATTGGCTTATTTCACTTAATGTAATAGCATCAGTATTCATCCATGGTGTTTTATGTCACCAGTTCTAGTCCTATTTTAAGGCTAAATTTTATTCTATTATATGTGCCTACTATATTTTGTTTATCCATTCATCCCTTGAAAAACATTTGGGTTCCTTCTACTTCATGGGTATTGTGAATACTGCTTCTATGAACATAGGTGTACAAATATCTTGTATAGACCTTGATTTCATGTTTCTGTATATATGCCCACAGGTGAAATTTTTGGAATATATTGGAGTTCTACTTCATTAATAGTTTTAAAGAACATAATACTGTTCTATAATATATGTATCATTTTACACCAAAAGTACACAAAGATTTGTACTACTTCACATTCCTATCAAAGATTTCTCTTTTTCTTTTAATTTTGTTGATAGTAACCATCATAAAGGGTTCAAGGTCATACATTGTTGTGTTTTTCATTTGAATATTTCTGGTGAGTAATAAAATTGAGCATATTTTTGTATGCAATTAGCTGTTTGTATGTAATCTTTGAATCAATGTCTGAGTTGTTTGACTATTTTCACAGGAGTTATTTGAATTTTTTGTAGTTAAGCTGGGGAAGGAAATTCTTCATATATTCTGATATAAACTCCTCACCAGACATCGGATTTGCAGCTTTTTGTGTGGTTCCATAGGTTACCTTTTTGCTTTGTTGGTTGGGTCCTATAATAAACACAAGATTTTAAATTTGATGTCATCCCATTTGTCTGTTGTTGCTTTTGTGGACTATGGTATTGGCATCCCATTCAACAAATCATTACCAAATGTAATAGTATGTAACTATACTTATATGTTCTTTACTGGGGTTTTATAGCTTTAGGTCTTACTTGTAGGTCTTTAATCTATTTAAAGTTAGTTTTTATATATGGTATATTCTATTATATGTAGATACTCAGTTTTTCTACCACCAATTGTTAAAGGGATGGTCCTTTCCATTCCTAATTCCTCTTTGTAGATTTTAAAAATATTTTTGTTGTTGTTTTTTAGTTGTAGTTGGACACAATACCTTTATTTATTTATTTATTTAATGTGGTGCCCTGAATGTACTAGGTAAGCATTCTATCACTGAGCCACAACTCTAGCCTCTGATTTTAGATTTTTCTCAGGAAGGAATATATTGACCACTTTTTTTTTTATTGTTGGTCGTTCAAAACATTACATAGTTCTTAATACATCATATTTCACAGTTTGATTCAAGCGGGTTATGAACTCCCAACTTTACCCCGTATACAGATTGCTGTATCACATCAGTTACCCTTCCATTGATTGACATATTGCCTTTTTAGTGTCTGATGTATTCTGCTGTCTGTCCTATTCTCTACTATCCCCCCTCCCCTCCCCTCCCCTCTCCTTTTCTCTCTCTACCCCTTCTACTGTAAATCATTTCTTCCATTTGTATTATCTTGTCTTACCCCTCCTTTCCTCTTATATATCATTTTGTATAACCCTGAGGATCGCCTTCCATTTCCATGCGATTTCCCTTCTCACTCCCTTTCCCTCCCCCCTCTCATCCCTGTTTAATGTAAATCTTCTTCTCAAGCTCTTCGTCCCTACCCTGTCCTTGTTTACTCCCCTTATATCAAAGGGGTCATTTGGTATTTGTTTTTTAAAGATTGACTAGCTTCACTTAGCATAATCTGCTCTAATGCCATCCATTTCCCTCCAAATTCTATGATTTTGTCATTTTTTAATGCAGAGTAATACTCCATTGTGTATAAATGCCACATTTTTTTTATCCATTCATCTATTGAAGGGCATCTAGGCTGATTCCACAATCTTGCTATCGTGAATTGTGCTGCTATGAACATTGATGTAGCAGTGTCTCTGTAGCATGCTCTTTTTAGGTCTTTAGGGAATAGACCGAGAAGGGGAATAGCTGGTTCAAATGGTGGTTCCATTCCCAGCTTTCCAAGAAATCTCCATACTGCTTTCCAAATTGGCTGCACCAATTTGCAATCCCACCAGCAATGAACAAGAGTGCCCTTTTCCCCGCATCCTCTCCAGCACTTATTGTTGTATTGACCACTTTTTGAAAGTTACCTTAGTTGATGAAAACAGTAGAACTTTTAGACCTGATTAAGCAGTGTGAATCCCTACATGTTCATCCTATCAGTACTAAAGATTAATAAAATATAAACATAAACCATGTAGACCACAGAGTGCCAATTAGTTTAATTAAATATAAAAATTTATTGTTCCAGTGACCAGACTAATTAACATGTTCATTCCCTGTGGACATTCATAGATGACAAGTCATTTCATCATCAAAGCCACTTTCTGTATTTCCCATGAGACATTCCTGTTATAAATGAAGTGGACATTTTGAATTCCATGAGATTATCACTTTTATTTTTTTCCTTTAGGTAGACCCATATTTAAGGCCAAAACATAATCCAAAGTTTCCTTGGAAAGTCTAAAATTATGATGAATCAGGAAACTTGATGAAAGGAAAACTTAATAACCTTATATCCACTTTGTGATGAAAAAGTTTTTGCAAACAAGACTACTGTAGTTTGATAGCTAACAGCATAGCACCTGGAAACTAGAATGCTTAGAGTAAATCTTGGCTGCTATAATGGTGATAATGATTAGTTCCACATTTCCCCAAATGGGCTTAAATTGTTTCAATAAATTTTAAAATCATTTTAATTATGTCATGCTTAAACAACTGGTCAAATCCCGTTGGTAATAAAACATCTTTTTTTTTTTTTTTTTTTTTATTTGTTGTTAACCACATATGAAGAGAAGTGTTTTTTATTTTTTTTTTTTTTAGTTGTTGTTTTTGTACTGGGGCTTGAACCCAGGAATTCTTTACCACTGAGCTATATCCTTAGCCTTTTTATAAATATATTTGGGTTTTTTTAATATTTATTTTTTGGTGTAGATGGACACAACACAATGCCTTTTTATTTATATGTGGTGCTGAGGATCGAACCCCAGTCCAGCCCATGATAGGGGAGCGCTCTACCACTGACCCAGGATCCCAGCGCTCCTCAGCCTTTTTTATCTCTTATTTTGAGACAGGGTTTCACTAAATTGCTGAGACTGACATTGAATTTGCAATCCTC